TCGCATGTCGAACACAATTCACACATTCTCAGGGTTCCAATCACAGAATATAATGACACTGGGTGGTTATATACAAAGCGTACTGAATTCACGCACTTTTCGGACTATCAGGGTTTTTCAAAGTTTCTTGGATGTTAAAACATCTACATAATACCGAAAGATGACATTCTGAACAAAACAAAAGAATAATCATCTCGGAATCAAAGCACACCCGTTCATGACCGTCGGTGGCCGACTCGAGATCGATTAGACAAACCCACCCGTACAAAACCGTCGGTGGCAAAAGAGATTCTCAACAAAAGTGCTACATAGGCTTAACGTCCCCTAGCACAAAAGGACGTCTCGAGAATGTCATCAAAACAAACGCAATATCACTTACTATAACCTGATTTCCCAAAACTCGATAACACTTGAAGCAAACGCATCAAACATATTTTGATTAGTCGAGGATAAATATTCAGTACAGTTCACAATCAAATCAATCTGTTGTCATCGGTTTTCCATAGCGTCAGACAAGCCAGAATGTGACAACACACCAGCATTATTCCTTAAGACACCCAATCACTGGATTTGCACAATTCAGTTCATTCATAACACATATGTCCTCAATAGTTGAGGGTTGGTTCTCAGTGGTGTTCGTGGTTAGATCAATCTGTTGATAGTCCACAAGGGTCTTTCAAATAAGTCGAGTATTCCAACGGATTCAAGTTTCGGGTCTATCAATTTTTCTGCCAAGAATAATCTGGCCATTTATTTGTAAACCATCCGTGGTCCCTCTTAACAAAAATCAACTCAGATAGAGACTCTTATCAAATCAACCCAAGCAAAGGTCTTGTCAAATTTAATCAAACAAAGGTTCCATCACATTATATCCAATGGGGGTTCTATCAGGTCAAATCAGACAAAGGTTCTATTGGATCGAATTAGATAAAAGTTTTTCTCAAATGGGGTATTTAGTTCTGTAAGGCACACTTCGTTTACTTAAGTACATGGTTGATAATTTCACAAATGTCCTAAGTTTACCAGTTCTCAAAGTCAAATCAGGGTCATTCATCACAACTGTTTATATCAAAATGACTCAGGTCATGTACAATACGACATTGTTCACATAAGTCCAGGTGTAGATGCATTTGCATGCAGTTGTTCATATCAAAAGGCATGTATCATAATCAAATCAGTAGTTCCCAAATAAGTCTTATATACAAGCACATAGTGCACAGTAACACGGTAAACAAGGTTCCTCAGTTACACATAACATAGGATTGTCACGCAAAAGTTCCAAATCGGTCACAAAGCATAGGCTTACGAGTCAAGCTCAGTTTAGTCACACCGTTCAGTCAATTTTCTACCAATTCCACATACATGATCCATAATTTGCAGAGTTTATTATTTGGGGTGCTCAACTTAGTTATACAATTACAAGGTCACAATTCCAGTGGTTTAGTCATTGACGACAGTAGTATAACAAATCACCTTGAGCAGAGATTTAGATGTACAGGTGCATGTGCAGAGTTAATCAATATCCCAATACATATTTCGCAATTTTCCCAAATGAAGCATACACATTCAATGAATACGGTCTCAATCTGATGGGTCTAACCAATCTAGATACACATGCAGCAGATATGAAGGAATATGCCGATCCGAATCAAATAATATCCCAAGCAAAAATGTACACATGTACTAATTCAGAACCAATCAACACATAGGCATTCGTTTATAAACAGTATAGATACCTGGGATAACAATCGCAGTATTCTGAGTGCTTTCTAGGACGAGTACAATTACTCTATCTTGATTAGCAATTCCCACCATTGGTACGAATTCAACTGAGGCAGAAGATTTACTCGCATTTGTTCAGTTCGGGGACAATTCCTTACCATATGGTCCATTTACCACACCTATAACAAGCCCCCGAAATCCGACAACGACTCCTCGGTGTTTCTTACACTGGTGGTGGCAAAAGTTCTTACCATAACAGCAACTGACGTTGTTGTCTTAAGATCTCTGCCATTTCTTGTACCATTCTTCCCAATCTATCAGGTCGAGTTGTAAAAGAGTCTGCCAACTCGTATGCGCTTACTTTAACCACGTTCTACACGAACTCTTATTAAATCATGCCAAATACGGGGATGTCCAATACAAAAATAAACACATAGTCACACATAGGCACGTCTTTATATTCTCATTTCACATATCGTACGTAATTAATCACACACGTAACAGATAATTGCATACTTATCAGATATCGCATGTTGAACATTTACTAAGTAATTATATACTCAAATCATGTTCATATTTCACATAGACACCCGTAGGCAAAATTGAATGCACATAAACAACTTTTCATGTATGTGCATTATATCAAAACAAACTTGTTGTACACATTAGTGTAACAATTCATATTTCATATTCAAATCATGTGTGGTATTTCCTTGAGCGTAACATATCATGTTGGTCAAGCATATCAAATTCCATGATGGAACCTCTAATACCAGGTAACATATCACATACATAGGCCACGGTATTATTTCCCCCGGGCTAGGACCTCATGACTATAAGCCACAGTATTATGTCTCCTGGGCGAGGGCCTCTGCTAAGGATACCACAATTACGTTCCAGGAAATTTGGACAAACATTAATTCATTTCATATCATCATAACATAATTAAGGCTAAACGTAACTTTATAGAGTTCTTACTCACCATCCGATTGAACTTGCATTATACTTTATACAAAAATTCACGAGTATGCATATACCGAAAAGCAAACATATTTCGATGGTTTACAATGCAAGCAATCCACAAAGTTATAGCACATAATCGTTCACATTAAACATTTAAGCGTATTTCTGATGCTTTCAAATTCATACTTATCACATGAATACATCCTAGATCTTTTCTAGACGCTTATTGCTTTTTTGGACAAGTGCGTGAGTTATTAACTCGTGCTCTGATACCACTCTGTCACGACCCGAACCCGCCCCCATGGGTTAAGGACGTAACCGGCCAGTAATCCTAAGATTACCTACGGCCTCAAACCAAAACAGACTTAACACATCAGAGTAAAGGGGTCAAAAGGGAAGCAAAATTTAAAACTTTGTCCATAGAGCTGTGCTTACATGGCACATCAAAATAAACCATACATATGTATGTTAATAACTCACAATAGAAACATAGCAACATAGGTTCTGTACAGACAGGATCATCCAAAACTAAGTCAACCCATAAAAACTATAAGCAGACATATACAAAACTTCGCCAACCTGACAAAATGTAAATACATAACAAAAGGGCGAAGACGGGTCTCGTGCGTGAGACACAAGGGCTGACTCTCTCAAAACCTTAGTTGTTCCATACAGACTTCACTAAGACTGGGTTTGGACTTCTCTTGGCTCACCTACAAACACATGAATGAGCGTGAGCGAAAGCCCAGTGAATAATATCAAATCAAATACAGAAGTTACATAGCAATGTAGAACAACATGTTCCAAACGGCCTTGGGCCCAATTTACAATTTAACTAGTACATACATACATAGACACATGTAAGTTAAGCGACTGAGGTTCCAAACACATCATACGGCCTCGGGCCCAATTCATTCGTTTCATTGTCAAACTATTACTTGTGTCGAACTGGCCTGCAGCTTTTTCAAACTTCCATATCAAACTGGCCCTTAGGCCTATTTACACTTTCGTGTCGAAACGGCCTCTGGCCCATTCATTCATGTCTTGTCAAAACGACCTTCGGTCCATTTATTTGTGCCAAAATGACCTTCGGTCCATTCATTTATGCCAAAACGACCTTCGGTCCATTCATTTGTGTCAAAACGACCTTCGGTCCATTCATTTATTCCAAAACGACCTTCGGTCCATTCATTTGTGTCAAAACGACCTTCGGTCCATTCATTTATGCCAAAACGACCTTCGGTCCATTCATTTGTATAGCGGTCCCGGGTTTTACCCTTGTTGTATAGTGATTCGGGCTTGTGTCCGTGGATGTTGGTAGTTGTTTATTTTCTTGTTCGCATCCTTTTTACTTTGTATATTGAGTATAGGATATGTTGGGCAGGTTTGTTACAGGTTGGTTGAGCTTAGAAGCTAAAACTAGTTGCCCAGATTTTGACCTGTCCGCTCGAGCGGGAGTTCTGGCGCTCGAGCGGGAATTGCACCCATCCAGTATTTTTTGTGCAGTGTTGGACGCTCGAGCGATGGCCTGGTTCTGTAAAAGTTCTGGGAGTGTATATTCGCCGCTCGAGCGGGTTTGTTGGCGCTAGAGCGGGAGTCTGTGAGTGACGCTCGAGCGGGGTTTTTGATGCTCGAGCGGGTCGACTGGGTTTAAGTTCTGTGTTTTGACTTTTCAAATCACTTTTTCACTTTCTCTTCTCTCTCCTACTTTTCCAAAAACACCATTGTTGAGCCTCTCACTCTAGAACTCTACCTTCTCTCTAGGTTTTGATCTAGTAGGGAGTGATTTGCTCACCTTTGGCCTTTACAAAAAAGTTATTGATCGTCGAGGGCTACTTTTTAATCTGAAAATTTCGAGATTTGGAGCACGTTGGGTTTTGTCTTCTTCTCCCTTGGAGCTCCGAATTTGAGGTAGGGATATCCTACTCCTCTCTATGGATTTTGTCTTTAAATTTTGGTATTTTGAGATGTTGGGGTTGGTTTGGTAATCTTGTGAAGATTTGGGGCTTTTGTGTTATTTTACAAAGGTTGGGGTTTTATTTATAATAAACCTAGATGCATATTTGGTATAGAGAAATGGAAATAAATGTTGAATCGTTGATGAAAATGGGACCTAAGGGTTGAAATGGTAATTATGGAAAATGACCTAATTACATTATTTGATTAATTGGGATAATTAATTGTGAGAAATGAGAAAATGAAATGGAATTGTCGAGATTGGGAATGTATGGGGTTAAAGGGTGTAGTTGAATTATTTATCACTCACCGAATTGAAATGTTGATTGAATATCCATTGTGCATTTATTTATCTCTCTAAAGTTCATTTAGAAGGTAACCCAAATCTCTGTTTCAGTTTGGCATGTAAGAAAATTCATGGTCATATAAAAAGATTAATCTTGGTTTTTATTATAATCATCATCGCTGCAATCTTAGCACTATCTTTAGCAATTAGCTTGATTTTCTACCTAAGGAAAAGACAAGCAAAGATCAAAACCTCGTCTGAATCCTTTAAGAGACCGCATCAAATGGTCTCTTACGACGATCTTCGTCTTGCAACTGGAAATTTCAACCAAGAAAATCTGCTTGGAAAGGGGAGTTTTGGGTCTGTGTACAAAGGAAATCTCAGGGAAGGAAGTCCCATCGCAGTTAAGGTGCTTGATGTGGAGAGGACTGGATCATGGAAGAGTTTTTTGGCAGAGTGCGCAGCTCTGAGGAGTGTTAGGCATCGGAATCTTGTGAAACTCATAACATCGTGCTCAAGCATAGACTTCAAAAACATGGAATTTCTTGCTCTTGTGTATGAATTCATGAGTAATGGGAGCTTGGAAGATTGGATAAGGGGAAAGAGGAGACACACGAATGGAGACGGGTTGAATATCGTGGAGAGATTGAATGTGGCCATTGATGTTGCTTGTGTTGTAAACTATTTGCACCATGAGAACGGAGCTCAAGTGGTGCACTGCGATTTGAAGCCTAGCAACATACTGTTGGATGAAGACATGACTGCCAAGGTAGGAGATTTCGGTCTGGCCAAGTTGTTGATCAGCAGAACTCGTGACCAAAGTTCTATCAGCTCTACGCGTGGCGTGAAGGGCTCTGTAGGCTACATTCCTCCAGGTTCATATTTTAAGAGTGACTCAGTACACGACAATCCTGCTAAAGCAGGGTTTGCCAAAATATATTTATGAAATCACACAATACACACTAAATTAGACCCCATGATATAATTTGTTTGGTTTGATGAATTGTGATGCAGAGTATGGGCTAGGAGAGAAACCATCAACAGCCGGAGATGTTTATAGCTATGGAATTACATTGCTGGAGCTTTTTACAGGGAAGACACCAACCGATGAGATCTTCACAGGAGGGTCAAGCCTGAAGGAATGGGTGAAAATGGCCTTCCCTGCCAGCATAGAGCAAGTACTGGATCAAGATTTGCTGCCAAATAAGGGTAGTCTTTGTCATGAGGGTAAATCCATTTCTCCAGAAGCGCAGCACGATTGCTTGATCGCGCTGCTTGGTGTTGGGCTTTCTTGCACTGTCGATTCTCCGAATGGGCGCATTAGCATGAGTGATGCTCTGTGCAAGCTGAAAAGCAGCAGAGACATGCTTCTCAAATTTGATCTTTTCATATCAATTTACATCAAACTTTTATATATCTGTTGTATATATATGAATTTATCTGGTGGTTTTCTATGTAAATAGTTGAATCGTTACGTTCTTTGATCAATCTGTTGTCTTCGCTTATTTTTGAATGAAACAACCAAGCCCAGTACTTGTTTCAGGCTCAGATTTGTGAAGGTTTGATTTTTTGTTTTTGGGTCCAAAATTGATTGAATTCCATAGATTTTAAATTTTAGTGTATTTTCTTTTATTTTCTTTGCTACTTTTCATCATCAACTGAATGTGTGAAAATTCAAATTTGTGTTATGCTTGTAAGTGATCTCAATTGATGAAGCATTCACATAAAGTTTGAGTTATCTTTGCCTTTTTCTTTTTTTCTCTTTTTCTCATCTATTAATTTGAGTTGTCTTTGCCTTCACAATTGATTGATCTCAGTTGATGAACCATTCCAGTAATTGTTGAACTTGTTTGTTTTTAGAAAGTCTGTGTATTTGTGTTTGTTATTTACTCTTGGGTATGTTCTTTTGATTTGGTAGTTTGATTCAGCTCACCCAAAATGTACACTTTTTGAAACAAGATTATGCAATTGCTTCATTCTAGAGGTGGCAAATGGGTGGATTTTGGGCAAGTAAAACAATCCAACCTAAACCCACTTCCCATCAAACTCATTCTAACATAACAAATTCATACATTCAAGCTCATATCTTCATAAATTATACGTGCATGTGATGAATTAGCCACATTCTCAACTTAGATAACACAAATGGTGATCAAAACATGAGTTTCAACCAAAACTCTACATGAATCATGTATTTTAAGCTTATACATGCTATTTCAAAACATTTCCTTACATGCATGCATATATCAAGCTTTAATCCAACAAAACCAACCCAATTTCATTTCAATCTTACTTTTGATCACCCAATTAGCTTGAACACACAAAATTACAAACTATAATCCAAGAATTACTCACCTAGAAGCTTTGATTCACACAATCTAACAATTCTTGGATTATCTTCAAGGTTCCCAAGCTTTAAGCTACAATTTGCACAATTCTCTCCTCTCTCTTCCTCTCTACAGCCGACTCTCCTTCCTTTTCTCAAGGTTTGATCAGCCAAAATGAATGCATAGGAGAGAATGGGAAGTGTAGTGACCTTACCCAACCATTCCCACTAACTCATGATAATAATAGTAAATAATTGGGCACCAATTTACCAACTTAATCAACTTAATCTGGTCCAAATCAATTTTTCAATTAAATTTCACCGTAGGCTCTAAAAATTATGTCAATCACAATGGCGTAATCAATTTCGGGTTCTGTGGCCGATAAGGCCCTCAATTTAATTCCCAAAGCAGATTATTCAACAGATATTCCCACGGAGAACAAATAGAACTTCAAAACCACATATTTTCACATAATGGAACACAAAATCATATCAAAACACATAATCACATCATATTAAGGACCAATTAACATATTACGGAGCAAGGGTATTACAGTCTCAATGTGACACTTTTCGAAACACAGTTAATAGATGCATGATTTGCAACCAACCAATCCATTCCCAATATAACATCGAAATGGGCTATGTCTAGAGGCATTAAATCTACTAACAATTCCACATTCTCAATCACAACAACACATGCTTTATAGATGGATGCAACAATCATAGATCTTCCAGATGGAGTAGACACAGATAATACGAAATCAAGGGGCTCTAGTTCTCTATTAATTTTCTCGGCAAACTTAGTAGATATAAACGAATGAGTAGAACCCGAATCAACCAACACATAGGCATCTTGGGAGAAAATTAGAAGTATACCTGACACCACTGCTTCAGCATTCTGAGTGTCTCCTGGTACTAGCGCAAATACTCTGCCCTGTCTCATCTGCCCTTTTCCAACGTTACCCTTCTGAACGGAACCCGAGGTATTCTCACCTTTCTTATTGTTGTCAGCCTTTGTCTTGGGGCAATCTCTCACATAATGGCCCATCTCGCCACATTCATAACAAGCACCGGATGTCCGGCGACAGATCCCGAAATGTTGCCTCCCACAGTCCGAACGCGTCGGTTTAGCATTACCTTCCTGCCTTAGATTACTAGTACTGCCCATGTTCGTCTTCTTCTTGGTGCCCAACTGTCCTCGGCGGTTGTCATAGTTCTGTCTTTTTTGCTGGTTCTCTCCCGAGCTCTGGTATCGATTCAGATTAGCTTCGGCCTGAATGGCTTTGTCCAATACTTCGGCATAAGTTGGCATATCGAGCAAATTAACCCGGTCTTGAATCGGTCCGCGAAGCCCACTCTCAAACTTCCTGGCCTTCATGTATTCATCGTTGGCCATGTGAGGCACAAACCTCGCCAATTCAGTAAAAGTGCGGTCGTATTCCGCCACTGTTCTGTTGCCTTGGGTCAAAGTGTGAAATTCGGTAGCCTTGCGATTTCGGACACTTACGGAAAAATGTTTCTTGTAGAACAACTCTAAGAATCGAGTCCAGGTCAGATCTGGATTGCTCTCTCTAACCATCATCAACCACCTGCGAGCGTCATCATCTAATGTGAATGCTGCCAACGTCACTTTCTGAGCGTTGGTGCTAGGGAAGATCTCGAACAACTTTTCCATTTCCAAAACCCATGCCTCAGCCTTCATCGGCTCTATACCCCCAGAGAATCTTGGTGGTTTCATTTTCTTGAATTCCTGGATCAAAGCTATCGTGCCATCCCCATATAAGGCTGGCTGCGGGGGAACTTGCGGCACTGGAGGAGGTGGAGGCGGAATTACATTTCGGCCGTTGGTCTGCTCGGCCTGAGTCGACGTGGCACTGGCGAACTGCTGTCTTGTTTGCCTCAACTCGCGGGCCAAACCCTCAACTAATCTTTCCAGTCTATCCATTCTGTCTTCGGGCTGATCCCGGCCAATTGGAGGTCTACCTCTTCTCATGATGCTATGAGCGTGCAAAGTATGACTTTAAAACAAATAAGCAAATAACCCCGTAGGCAAGCAACAAATAAGTATATCAAGACAATGCACACCTCATTCAAATAACAAATACCATGATGCAACCCTAGCATCCTTCTAAGGGAAATCCTATGCTCTTTAGGACTCAAAGTGTGTGATTAACGTATACCGAGGAACTCATGCTCTGATACCACTCTGTCACGACCCCAAACCGCCCCTAGTAGTTTGGTGCCGTGATGGCCAGTAATCCGTAATTACCGAAGGCCAACTTTCAAAAACTTAACACAATCAGAGTATAATAAACGGGGCTCACAAACGCGGAAGCAATAATCTAAAATACAAGTGGTCCATAAGAGCTGTGCATAGATCAAATGCAATGTCATTCATCTTTACAACTTGAATACAACAAGCAAAATATGTGTTACAACTTGATCGAAAGGCTTCTTGAGCCGACATATACAAAATACAGAAATACAAGTCAAGAAGCATGATTTTCAAGATTCGCCGACATGAAATAATGGCATTGCCGACGTGAATACAAAAAACAAAGCCGACATAATCAAGAATCCAAACAAGCTTTCAAAACAGTCTAGGCAGCGCCGACGTCCTGCTCATCACCTACATATATATAGAGAGGGTGAGCTTGGATACTCAGTGAATGGTACTAATAATAAAGGTTTGCATGAATATAGCCGAAGTCTTTCAAAACAAAACACATCAGACTTATCAAAGCAAGGGATGAACCGTATTCATCTATAGCAAGACAAGGACTGCACGATCCGTAATCGATTAGTCAAAGGTACTGCGAAAGTTTATAGTCCTCCAGCACAAGGGACTTGTGTTACTTAGGCCCGTAGCCCGCTTTAACACCGTAGTCTTTCCAAGAAAGGGCCGTATAAAGTTTAGAGTCCTCCAGCACAAGGGACTTGCGTTACTTAGGCCCGTAGCCCGATTTAACAATATAGTCATTTCAAGAAAGGACCGTATCCTTTTTGTACTTAGTGCTGCGAAAGTTTAGAGTCCTCCAGCACAAGGGACTTTTCAAGGATGACATCAAAACAAGGCTTATGCTTGATACATCAAGACAGAGCTATTCATTCATGCTTAGCAAATACTTTCGTCAAAACAAAACAAAGCAAGATTTATCAAAAACAAGTGTAACATAGCTTTATCAAGAATACCACTCACATAGTTTTCCTCGGACATAGGCCCAAAGCAAAGATCAAGGTCCTACAATCACATGGCAAATCACATTCTCAAAACAAGCTTTATATACATGCAGATGATCTCGGCATCCTTACCAGATCCAAGTCAATAACAAAGCAAAACATGCTGGGAGTTTACACACTGCTCCCGTAAAAACCAACAA